CAGTACCCAGTATATTTTCTTTTCTGTGTGGATTTGTTGGAGTCCTTACCTTCTGCTGTTGCTGTTGCCACTAATAGTTTTCCAGCTCGTAAAAGCTTTGTTGCTGCTGTGCCTTGGCTTGGCACTTCGATCTAAGTTGGCTGGCAACTGGAATCGGCTTGGCTTTGCTTTGCTTTGCCGCTTAGTTTTCGCACTGCTCCTGTCGGAAAATCCGTATCTGTGTAAGGCTGCTCTCCATGCTTGTGTGCTCACCATGGCGGAAACTTGCCAGGCAATTTCCGCTTTAAGTACCATTAAATTCGTATTCGTTTTAATGAGCTCTCAACATGATGCCCCCTTGGGCCCAACGTCTCTATATTTTTCAGACAGTCAGTCAGTCATCCTCATCTCCCTGGGCCATCGTTTTAATGACATTCGATTCGTGTGCCTATCCCATGCTGAGTCTGCCCTTTGTTTAGACAGCATGAGACTCTGTTTCGGTATCCCCTTTGCTTTACGACCACTTTGATGGGCTTTTCATTTAATTTCGTACAATTTTCGACCAGTTAACGGTGAAATCTGCTTAAGGTGCACGCCAAGTTCTACTGGTGCTGGGCTGACACAGTGCGAAAATAATATTAAAATATCGATAATAGCTACCCTGCAGGAAAAATGCGAACTAGTCTGAAAAACAACTAGTTAAATAACTAATATAAAGCAACCGGAATTTGTCTGATTGCATTTGGACTACACAGGGTCTAGAAAATTTGTGCTAGTCGAAAAAATGATTAATACAAAACTAGTAAAAAATAAACTTGTCTCGGACTAGTACCTTTCTGACAAAAAAAACCTTAAAAATATTTAACTGGTAGAACAAATACATGTTAGGGTCTAGTTAAAAGGCAACTGGAATTTAACTAGTTGCAAAAGAAACACATATGATCCAAAAATATAGCCTAGAGGGTAAATGTCTTGGGAAATTTAACAATAAACAAATCAAACACTCGAGGTCCTCGGTTCAATCCCCAGTCTCTGTACACTTTTTTTTTGTTTTTTGTTTGCTAGGTGATGCTTTAGTTTTATTTTAAACTTTGTTTAATATGTCGGAGGCAATATATATGTGAAAAATCACTGTTTTTGAATTATGTCACACTAAAATTCATAAACCTTGTTAGGGCATTACAAAACGTGATGCGTGTATGGCTCAATCAGTTAGTGTGTCTACAAATCCAAAGGTCCCGGGTTCAAGTCCTAGAGAGGGCGACTTGCCTCAAAAAAAGTAAGTTTGTTTTAATTCCATTTAATTATCATTTACTGTATTTGATTACATAATAATTATCAGAAATTCTCTAAGGACCGCGCCTATTGATTGGATACTAAATTAGGAGAGCGTCAAGTTGGGCATCGTCAAGTACTAGTGAAATTCAATCACTTGATGGTTTAGAGATTATTTTTAATTTATTCGTGAAAATATTTTTTTGAGTGTAGTTTAACAGCTGTAACTATAAATTGGTTAACAGTCACTAGTGCAAAACTAGTAGCTTGTCCGACGACAAGCATATGAAAAATGGACCACTTCGTTACAAGGAAATGGACATAACTTGAACTAGTTAACCTTCTCGACCCAACTAGTATTTTAATAGTCCAAAACTGATTCCGTTTCCTGCAGGGTATGTTCTTTTAAGTGATTGATTTTGTTATGTGTTGGCACACCCAAAAAAACCATTATATGAAACGATTATCAATTTAATAATTTGTGGTTTCAATTTTAACATAGGCCAGTTCGAATTCCGAATGTGTATTTCTCTTTCCCACTCATGTGACTTTAACTATCTCGCTTTATTTCGAATTGAAAGAATTTTTTTTTCCCGCTTCCGCTCACGTTATTTATTGCTTCTTTTGTTCTTTTTTTGAAGTCAAAGAATCTCCGAGAGAGAGAGAGAAATCGGCTAAATGACATTATCTAATATCAATTTTACCAGTATTGCATGGTAAAAACAATATGCTTATAAATACCAGAATTTTTCCATACGCATATAGATTTGATGCCTTCGTGTTTTTTTTGTGTGTACAAATATTTTTTAAGTTATCATAAAACGTATATTCCTTTTCTCAAAACGTTCTATATAACAACTTTAAATTAAGGTTTTCCTTTTATTGTGTACTCATAGTTAAGCCACAAATCGATTATGGCCCACAAGCCACCTGGGTACATCAGGACACAGCCAATCGCTGTTGGTAAACTAATTAATTTTCATGTCTTTGCCATGTCTTAACATTGCGCATACGCCACGTTGCACATAATTACTTTGCTACTGCTCGCAAAATTCCCGATAAATAATTCAGAGCGCATGTGAAACTAAAAACGGGAAGCAGACCAAAGTTAAGATTCCCAACAAAGAACTCGAATCGCAGAACTTCGGTTCGTGTTTGCGACTTATCTGGGCAAATGGATTATGCTGCAGCTTTTTGGGCCAGCTCAAAAGAGGCAGAGTGGGAGTTTCGCCCACTTTTCGAAATCCCCATCTATTAGTGCCAGTAAAAGCAATTATTTGAGTGGAAACTTTGAGGCTACCGCTGAAAGTTAAGAGCTGCTTTTGCAACTGCGGTGGCTGGCTTTCTTTCGGTTTGGCATTATCTCGCTGTGCTCCACGTTTTTAGTTAATGCTGAAAATAAATTCTGCTAAAGTAGGGCTGGTACAACAACTTTAACCAGTTCACTGTTGATGTTAATGGTTTACCTTTGCGGATGCGGTGGCAGCAGAGACGGGAGTTGTCCAATAGATTAGCTTTGCAATTTTTCAGCTTAACACTTTAGTAGGATTAAGTGGGCTGTGCGGCACAACAATGACGCCAGGGTAGCTGATTTCTAATGGATGTCCGACAGCAACGGACATAATTCAAATATGGATTTAAGGGGATTTTTGCAGGTTTCAGAAGCTTTGCCTGTGACGCTGCCAAATGCTTTGTTTTCTCATAAATTCTGTCATGTGACTAGCAATAAAATAGTATTAATGGTTATCCTTCAAAAATAGTTTAAAAAAAATCGAATTTTTTATTTAAATCATAATTTAATAATAATTTATAAAGAATATATATATGTATAAAAATATATGAAGATTAAATAGAACAAACAAACCCGAATATCGAATACTTGAAATTGTGCCTTTTTTCTTTAACTTTGTAATGCAAAATGTTATCTTAAAAACAATTAAAAAATGCAATATTTGGCTGGTATTTTTTTAAATTTGTATTATTATCAAAGGCAAATGATAAGGTATTCTATACTTTAAGTAAGTCATTACTTACAAGCTAACTAAAATGAATAACAATTTGTTTTTTATATTTTACAGCTGAAAGAACTGAATTCTTTAAAAAGTACTAGGACTTGAAACTGTGAATGTGTCACACCATTCAGCTCACATTTCTCATGGCTTCGACAATTTACATTCTAGTCCAGCCCATTTATATTCCATGGACGGCATACCATTCCCAACTATTTGCCTTTCGAGTGCAAAATGCTGGAAATTGTCACATCAAATTGGACAAACTTTGAGCAGGCGAACGGCATTCACGTAGACACATTCACTCGGCAAATTAAATAAACACCTCTTTTAGCATTCACACAACGAAATGTGCAATTACATTACCAACTAGGAGTATCTACTTGGGCTTGGAAAAGGGGGAAACTGCCAGGTCCTGGCTTTGAAATTTACATAACATTCGAGTCACCTGTCGGTGGAACAATTTATCATACGCTGACATGCCTGACAACTGTCATTGTCAGGATACGCGAAAGGCGTCGGAAATGAGATGAAGCGTCAAGGAACCGGGGCAGCCACATCGTCTGGTATTTTGCTCTCCACTTGCCACTTGTCGGCCCTCTTTATTAGCCGCATTCATTGTTCTACACCGGTTGTCCGGGATTTTCAACTATCTTCCCCATTGGAATTCGCAATTTTCCGTATTTCCTAGCGCTATTCACTTCTTTTTTTTCTTCATCAACTGTTTGTCATGTCAACTATGCACCCAACTCAAGACAACACTTAATTATGATTTCTGTTTCACGGAAAAGTTTCGCAACAGGAGGAAACAGAGGAAGAGAGCTGAAAGAAAAATTACTCCAAATGGCAAAATGATTCCGGCGCTGTTTTCTCCTTTGGCTGCTGCATCATAAATTATTGAAGTTGCCAGTCTGTCATAGCCATGTAGTTTTATACCCGTCTCTTTTTATCCCCAGCTTCCCTCTCTTTCTCTTCGTCTTCCTCTATCTCTGTCTCAGTTGTGCAACTGGGAATTTAATTTGGCAGCAGGTGCCAAGTCGCGACCCTGTCTTTAAGCAAAGCCATCGTTGCAGAAATATATATAAAATAAAACGAAACTTTTCCACTTATTTTTCCTGCCACAAAAACGGACAAGAGAAGAAACTAATAAAATGCTTTCTTTTTTTGTGGTTTCCACTACTATAAAATTTATTTTGTTTTCGCATAACTCGAGAATGTTTTTCCCCACTGTTCCGTCCGCCACTCAATAAATAAGTAGCGTAAATAAACCCACCTCCATTTTGGCCAGCTTCTCAGAGAGGTAAAAAACTTTCGGTTGGCAGCTTTGTCCCGTTTACATGACAATTTGACAGTTTATTAAGTTGCCAGAGTCCCGGCTGCGGGGTAGGTTTTCCATCTAATGGAAAACTTAGAGTGGAGCTCTCCCGGGGGACCGAACTTATTCATAAACTATTCAATTGACTTGAGTGTCTAAGGAGTATTTTGTAAATCGTTGATTGCCACATAATTTACCTATAAGAGTGATGGGTAAAATCCTACACTACCGTTCTATTACAATTTTGTGTTTGTTTTTGATAAAAACTTTGTGTTTTTGTCAATTTTCTGTTAGTAAAATAGGTACAAATAAATTTGAGTGGTAGAAAAAAAATAACAAAAAACAAAGGATCTGTGCAAAAGCTTTGAATAATATATCTTCAATAAGTTATTTTTTAGATCAAAGGTAGAAACTTAAACAAGTTGTATTCAAAATTATATTTGCGAAATAAAACAATCAAAAGTAGGCTCCCAACATGAACCGCTAAACTTTTAAATGGGAATAATTTAGATATATTTATGTTGCAGATAGTATTCTTGGCCAGTCGATGGTATTACTTTCGCTTGCTGATGGTCCCATCGCCAATGCGATCATATCTGCTCGACAGATGGCCATGAGATCGATCCGCCTGTTGGGTTGCAGTTCTGAGCAGACGATCCTGTTCGCGATCTCTGATCCGCTCCTTCTGTCGCTCCCGTTCACGCCGACGCTCACGATCCCGCTCCACATCCCGATCCCGATCCCGTTCTCGATCCCTGTTACTGCGCAGCTGATCCTTTTGCTGCTGCAGCAGTGTCCAATCGTATATGTAGTCGTACTGATGGTTCAGCGTGCGCAAAAGTATGCGGAAAAGCTGGCGGAGATAGACGTGATCCGGGGGCTCCTTGAAGCGAAGGTTCCGTACGTAGGTCATCAGCAGGCAAAACTCGTTGGGGAAGCCTTGGCAGAGTTCCGGGATCGTAACGCTCCTCTTCTTCTCCAGTATCTTCTCGTACTTCTGCTTCTTGTTGGCGGCCGTAATACCCTGCCAGGGTAACTTTCCCAGATTGAAGTACATCATGCAATAGCACAAGGACTCCATGTCATCCCGGCGAGATTGCTCCACTCCCATTTGGGCATTTATCGAGGCATAGCGAACGGTGCCCGTTAGATTGCGGTCCTTGCGATAGGGTATATGCATCTCCGACTCGATGTCCTTGTACCTCTTGGACAGGCCGAAATCAATGAGGTACAGCTTATTGCAGTGGTTGCCCAGACCCATTAGAAAGTTATCGGGCTTGATGTCGCGATGTATGAACCCATGCTCGTGGACACACTCTATTCGCATCAGCAGCTGATCGGTCAGCATAAGGACGGTCTTCAGCGAGAATCGGCGCTTGCACACATTGAAGAGCTCCTCGAGAGACGGACCCAACAGCTCTATAACCATGGCATTGTAGTTCTTCTCGCATCCAAAGTGAAGCAGTGCCGGGAATCCCGGGCTGCGGATCAGCTGTTCGTACACCTTAGCCTCGTACATCAGCTGCGGATACTTGGCATCGTTCGACTCCACCTTAATGGCCACTTCGGCTCCATCCTTAACGTTTAGCCCGAGATATATATCGCCGAAGGAGCCGGATCCAATGGGCTTCACCACGCGATACTTTCCGCCGATTAGCTTGTTTTCCAGATTTAACGATGTGTTGCGGACTCGACCCGTGGCTGTCGTCGGCTGGTTGGCCATCTTTGTGGCCCCCGGATTTCTATGTCGATATCTTCTCCTCTGGAATTGTTTTTTGAGTGTCTCTCCCACTGGGAATTGCTTTTACTGGCGAGATGTTTTTACTTCTGGTTGTTTTTTTTTATTCTTTTTGGGGAACACTACTACTAAGCCGATTTTGACGTATAAGGCATTTTGATTTTTTGCCCTGGACTTGCTTTGATTTTTGGAAAACTGTTCGAAGCTGACTGTCGTTTTTCCAGCCCTGAGGCAATGTGACTAAAAATTAAATGCTATATGAAGTTATAGGATCAAAAAAGGTTATATCATTAAGTGGGCAAAGGGAAAAGATTTGCTCGTCGATAGGAGACATATTGGTCACACAAATTAAATATCGCTAGTTTAAGGATATGTAAAATATATTTAAAATCAAGAGATAACGCTATAGTAGACTGTTTGGACTATCTGATATCCGTTACTCATCTTAAGAGAGTATGAAGAAAAGGCAGATTAGAAAGCAGCAAAGCGACATAGCGACACATACCGGCCAAATTTTTATTACGTTATTAATTTTTAATGGAATTTTGAAAAAAGTGTACAAAACATTTTTGGTGAAAAATGGTACACGACTCTCATAGCTTAAATCTGGCTAGTGCCTGGCTTTTAATGTTTTCCCCAAAAGTTTTGTCACTAAAAAGGACTACAAAAAAAAAATATAAACAATTTTTTTAGTGGAAAAATTTTGAGAAAATTGAGTGTCTCAACTTACAGACCGTCCCAACCTACAGACCTCTCCTCTTTATTATTGATGGATCGGATAACTATATCTTATAGCTCCCATAGCACACTGGGCCAGCCGATCAGATTTTTGGCCAAAAAAACGATTTTCTTTTTTAAGAAAATGACCAAATTGAGTTTGGGATCCTTTTATAATACATTAAACTAATTTATGCCAAAGTTTCAAAGAATTCGGGCAAGTAGTTTTCTTTTACCATATTTTCAAAGTGAAAAATTCATAAAATATTGATGGAAATGAACAAAAATTTAGAAGTCAAAGATGCTGATGTTGCTGTTCGACTTCTTTCCGAAACTTGCAGAAGGGATTATTTTTAACAAGTAAAAAATATAATATAGCTCGTATGTCTTACTTGTTTGCTAAAATAAATGTAATTGTTAATTTTTACGCTTTTTTTCAGCAAATGAGTACTTTGCTTTTCGATTGCCTTCGAGTGCCATTCCCAAATTAGTTCATTCCTTCAAAAAAAAATTCGTTGATCAATTTACTAAGAGCGTAGCCCACCGACTCGATGCGGTTTTGCCTTAGTTTTCGGTAATTTAAGTTTTAATTGAAGGCTTAACTCGAAGTCGAGCTATTTTGAAGAGCTTAGCTAAGAGAGCCCAAGAGTATGCCATACTTTATTTCTTCAGGTTTTGGTGAACATTTTGCGCTCAAAAATTTGATTTTAGTGTGACTAACATCTAAAATCTACTTTTTACGTACACTAATCGATTATGGTATTTTCCAAACCTATATCTATCTATTTAATCAGGACTATGCAAATAAAAATGTAGCATACTTTTGTGATGACTTCAGAATATGTCAAATTAACATTAAACAAATCAAAAAACAATATTTTTAAACAATTTTTTTTACATAATTTGATTATATAAAACTTAAAAGGTAACAAGAACAAAAAAATATACATTTTTTTTAAATCGATTGTTTGATAAACGTTGATGTGGGAGCCTCCGAAAGTTGCACTTTTTAACGGTTCATAAATCTTAAATGACATAATATTTTTTAGTGATGTTAATTTTTTTTAGTTTGTTTTATCTCATACTTTATTGTTTTCGAAAATGGAAGAAGTTAGTTAAAGAAGTTAAAGTACGTAAAATTTTCCGACTTTGGTCTGGATTATCTATATCATATAAAATTCCAAGAAATTTTACTTTTAGTTCGTTGAAAAGTTCAATCTTTTAAGAAAAAAACGCAAAAAACTGCATCCTTCTAACTGTCCTAGGAAAGAAATTACAGATTTTTGGCCAAAAAATTAACTTTCTGCATAGGGAAGATCGAAAAAAAAGTTTAACAAATTCTAGCTTCGGTGTTTTTTTTTAAATAATTCATTTTACATTTGGGAATATTACACGAATACAATAAAGCATTTCACTCTGCGAGTAACAATTATATAAATTTGAGCAATTATTTTAACTATAAAATAGACATAACGTAAAACAATTCAAGAGCCAATTTTCTCAAATACGAAACCAACAGTTAAAAACGGAAATTAAATATGGAAAGTGGTAATGTAAAATTCAATATTTAAATGCGCCACCACCATTATAATGGAAATAAGCTGGACATAAATATGAAATTAGATCATTAGCTTAGCAGTTTGTGGAGAGAAAGGAAGATGGAAGTGGGAAAAGTGGGCGGGCAGACGAGAGTGAAAATTAAGCGCTACTAAAAGTAAATAAATAATGAACAAACACACGCAAAATGAAGCATTTATAAAGCCGCTTACAATCTAAGTAATCATGCCCCTGCTGATGATGACAATGATGATGATGGTGTCTCTGAAGTGTTTGTTTTGGTGGGTATGAGGGTGTGGGGGTGTGGGTGCTCTTGGTTCTGTGTGAGTGAAGACAATGCCATGGAAGAACAAAGCAACTTAAATGCAGGTGAGTGTGTGTGCCTGGGCAGGTGCATTAAATGCTATTACCACTGCTCTCGCCCCCAAACTCATTCCATTCCGCCCCAAAGGCAGAAGCACCTTTCACTTGGCAACGTCCATTGTTAATAATTTCAAGACAAAAGGCCACACTAAAACAATAACTAAGCACGCATTAAGTAGTAAGTAAGTAGATGACAATGCCCGGGAACCTACAAGCAGAGTGGGGGGTAGATGAGTGAAACGGGATTGGGCAGAATGGCCAAAGAAGTTAGTTACGTGCGCACAAAAGTACTTTTGCCCAAAACGTAGGAAATAGACATAAAAGCCAAAACGAAGCAGCACAAGTAGCAAGAAGCTGCTGCAAACGACGAAGACGTGGCAGCAAATAAAATAAAACAAATATAATGAGATTTCGTGCAGCGGGTGGAGCAGCGGCGAAAAATACACTCACAAAAATATTAATCGGCACAAAAGGTTTTAGATTATTATGTCATATTTAATTAAATTATTTTTATAACTAATAATTCAGTCAAATATAATAGATTTACTTATAAAAAGTTTATTTCAAATAATTTTTGAGAAAATCTTGTTTAAATTAATTTACTCTGATTATAATATTAGGCTTAAAAAATTAACAGTTAAAATCAGGACCGAAAAAATTAAAATCACCCTAGAAGGAAGTTAGCTGTATTTAATAAAATATTATTTATGTTATATATACTAAAAATGTTGTTTTTTCTTCCATGTTCTCAAAAAAAAAAAAAACTTTTAAAAAACTGATAAAGATCAAATATAATTGTTATTTAAGATTTTTATTTTTTCAAACCTCAAATCGAAGAAGACCATTTTTACATATTACAGTCGATAATAGTCGAATTATATATCTTGGAAATTAATATTTTCATTCAAAATTGCCAATTGCTTTTAAAATAGGTTTTAAATTCGCTCAGTGCACAAAGAGCATAGCATACTTATCAGCGCCGGGCGAAGCAGCAACGCAAAGATGGCGTCGCGCGCTATCTTTTGTCCGACTTCTCAGCAAGTGCCTCTGTGTGCGTTGGCTCACGCTCACGCTCTCGCTCACAACAACTAAATTTATTTTAGTTTTAACTATTTGCCCAGCACAAACGACAAACGGCGAAAAAGCAACGCTAAAAGTAATGCGAAGTCGGTGCATCTGTAACTGTGTCTGTGTGTTTCAGGCTAAAGTATTTGACACACACAAACAAAGCTCACTCACACACAGAACTACAGAAACTGCACACACACGCAAATACATTTTCACTTTTCACAAAACACAGCGCACAAAAGCCGGCAGAGGACAAAGGATATTATAAATTACATACCAAGTTTTCTGTTTTTATACCCTTGTAGAGGGTATTATAATTTCAGTCAGATGTTTGCAACGCAGTGAAGGAGACGTTTCCGACCACATAAAGTATATATATTCTTGATCAGCACCAATAGCCGAGTCTATCTAGCCATGTCCGTCTGTCCGTCTGTCCGTCTGTCCGTCTGTCCGTTTCTATGCGAACTAGTCTCTCAGTTTTAAAGCTATCGCGATGAAACTTTCCCGAAGGTCTTCTTTCTATTGCAGGTAGTACATATGTCGTAGCGAGCCGGATCGGACCACTATATCTTAAGGCTCCCAAACAAATATAAGAAAATTCATTGTAACTTTGTAGGAAGTAGGCGTTTTGATTCTTGACTACTTAAAAACAAAATTGAAATAATTCGAAACCCTGAATCTGGAATCCCTGGAACTGCACCGAGTGAGTATTCTTTTATCTACAAGGGTATATAAGCTTCGGCTGGCCGAAGGTAGCTTCCTTTCTTGTTTTTTTTTTGTTTTGTATCCTGTTTTGTTTCTTTCAGCCTTGTCGCCTATCCGTGTGTATTTGATAGTGTAGTTGTGTGTGTGTCTGAGTGGGTGTGTGTAATTTGGTGTGTTATTGTTGCTGCATCTGTTGTTGCCTTTTTACACTAGTTTCCATTTTTTGCCGTCCCCCGTCCGCCACTCGTCGTGTTATTATAATTTTAGCAGTTTATTTTCTTTTGCTATGCAAACTTAATTCCATTTCTCTGTTTATGTGCTTACACACTTGTTCAACTTAAATATAGCCAAATACAGGGTGGTGGGACTTATCTTAGGGTACCTAACATTTAACAACAAGTGTTGGAGGCAATGTAATAAAATTCTATTAAGTTGTTACTATGGGTAAAATAAATTATTAATATTTAAAGGTATTTAAAGAAAATGATTCCTGATAAATACTAAAATTTGAAATAAAAATAATTTAAGAGAAGCAGTATTAGAAAGGTTTTCCAAAGTTCCTCGCTGTGTTCCGTGCAAAATCACCCTGTTTGCTAGCAATCAAACAAGGGCAGCAGCAGCAGCAACGCCAACAACAACATCCTCAGCAGCAGCAACAACAATGTGAAGCACAAAAAAGTGGTTACCCCGCACAGTCAAAAGTCTGCTTCGTCTGGACAGATTGGACGGACATTATTGCTGCCGTTTGCGTCGCTGCCGCTGCCGCTGCCGCAGTCGCCGTTGGCGTAGCAGTCAATGTTGCTGCTGCTGGCAGCGACTGTACCAAACGTAGTACGC